GCACTCACTACAGGGGAAGTCAGCACAACTGGACTAAACCGAAGGTAAGAAGTTTCCTGAATACAATCAAACACTTTGAGGGACAGAGTAGCAGGGGTAGGGGTCTGGGGACCATGCTTTCAGGGAACATCTAGGTCAACTGGCATAACAAAGCTTATTAAGAAAATGTTCTGCATCCTACTTTGGTGAGTGGTGTCTGGGGGTCTTAAAAGCTTGCAAGAGGCATCTAAGATGCATCAATTGATCCCAACCACCTGGAGTAAAGGAGAATGAAGAACACCAAAGACACAAGGAAAGTAGTAGCCCAAGAGACAGAAAGGGCCACATAAACCAGAGACTTCATCAGCCTAAGACCAGAAGAACTAGATGGTGTCCAGCTACCCCCAATGACCACCCTGACAGAGAACACAACAGAGAGGCCCTGATGGAGCAGGAGAAAGGTGGGGTGCAGAACTCAAATTCTAGTAAGAAGACCAGACTTAATGGTCTGACTGAGACTGGAGGTATCCCAGAAAGCATGGCCCCCGGATTATCTATCAGCCCAGAACTAAAACAATTTCTGAGGCCAACTCTTCAGACAGGGATTGGACTGGGCTGTGGGACATAAAGTGATACTCACGAGGAGTGTGCCACTTAGCTCAAGTAGATACAAGAGACTAAATGGGCAGCTTCTGTCCGGAGGTGAGATGGGAAGGCAGAGAGGGTTAGGAGCTGGCTGAACGAACATGGCGAATCAGGGGTGGAAAGGAGGAGTGTGCTGTCACAGTATGGGGAGAGCAATTAGAATCACATAACAATGTACGTATAAATTTTTGTATGGGAAAAATAAAATAAAAAAAAGAAGTTCCAAGAAAACATACTAGATAACAGGCAACACTGAAGACTTAATATTTCAAAGTGTCTGTTTTAGTAACTTTAGGTCAAGCACAAGCATTCTGGGATGATCATTTAAGATGTAATTCATTTATATAACATTTATAAAATGAAGACAACATATAGACATGGTAGCACAAAACAGCAGAAACTAGGGGGCTATGGGATCAGATGTGACCTAATTATCTATTAACTATGTGAACTTGGGAAGGTTTCTTAATTCTTTGCCAGCTCAGTTTCCTCTGTAAACTGGAGCTATGGTCTATCTTATAGTGTTAATATGAAGACTAAGTGCTAAAGCAATGCCCAAGTACATAGTGAGCTCTGAATACATATCAGTTCCCGAATTTAAAAAAAAATAATGATCCTGAGTTTAATTAAATAAGGTTTCATAAAATGAGGGATAAATTATAAAGCGTATGCAGAAGAAATTTCAGATTTGTATTTGAAGGAAAGAAAAAGCATCTGTATAAAGAAATGAGCTATACACTCTGTCACCCTCCACCAAATTAATACCATGTAATGAATTATGTAATGAATTATAGCCCCAATAAGGATGTAAAGGTTGTTAAACGTGAAAGAACACTTTGAAAACATTTCCATTAGAATGAACTGAAAGGTAAGAGAATATTCAGGACAAGAGATAACAAAGAGGAATGACATTCACATGAAATTGGTAACCAGAGGTAGACTAGATCTGAAGAAATTAATTTTAAGAAGCTGCAGAATAAAAAAGAAAATTTTAAGAATACATTAACTAAATTAAAAAACAAACAAAAACCAAATCTGTTGATGTTGAGTCAATTCCAACTCATAGCAACCCTACAGGACAGAGGAGAACTGCCCCATAGGGTTTCCAAGGAGTGTCCGGTGGATTCGAACTGCCACCAGGGTTTTTAATACTGAATAGAGGAGAGTAATTTAGAAAAGGTTTCCACGGGAAGAGTGGAGGCATTCATCCATTGACATTTCCTCTGCGAAAGACCTGGAGAAGAAAAACTCACTTTAGAAACGAACAGCAAGATGCAAAGGATAGCAGAACCGGAAGCCTAAACTTTAAATCAAGGGATTCGATCATAAAGTGAAGTGCTCTGAAGACACTAGAAAGGTGCATTTCAAGCGCTAAGATGAAGAACACTATCTTGGGGATAAAATGGAGAACTGACTGTACTAAGCCAATTCAAGCAAAACATAATGAAAGCTATCTTTTGGTTCCCCCCCCACCCCCTGCCACCATATTAACCTTGGGCCCGAAACAACTTGCTAATGACCAACTAAGAAGGAAGGGTGCTGGAAATGAATACAGTCAGTCCTGATTGTATTCCATAGCAACCATGAAAACACCACCATCTCCTACCATAGTGAATGAAGTCACTGGTCCCAGCTGCCATCCTGTAAATCTTTCACCTATTTACATAGGTGAACACCAAGGATCCCATGAAAAAATAGTGCAGGGACACTACTGCTCCAGGACTCTCCATCAACCTTACCAAAACTTCCTTCCACCTCTCCTTCACAGGAGGTGGATGCGTGGAGATCTGACTCCTCTCCCAGCCTCCTCCAGCTCCCTCCCCATTTTCCTTCGCAAGTGTTTCTCCCAATAAATGTCTTGCACATCTAATCTCATCAAGGTGTTTACTTCTCAGAGGACTCAAACTAATACACTTAGTTACTAGCGCCAACCTTGAAATTTTCTTTACATAGGAACTATGGAACAGAAAGAGTTTATAATCTCTTACCGTTACTACCCTTATTACAGGGATGAAGAAGCTAGTTGCCTGTGCTAAGTGGTAGAGATGAGATAAAAACATGGTAAAGAAAGAGAAGGAAGTGCTTCCATTGCTGGAGAGTTAAAGGCTGAGAAAGATATGCTCCCTGCCTTCCCTCCATACTATATATTCAAAGAAAGCAGAAGGAAATGCCTCTCAACACACTAACCAAAGGGTAATGGATGATTTCGTTTTTGTTGCTGGACTGGGGAAGGGTGAGAAGAAGGGATGGCTCTCTAGCTTCTTGATATCTCATCAGGAGACTAGATCTGGCAGTGGTACACAGCACAGACTGGCGTGTTAAAGGCTGGATTCAGATGCATCAATTAAGAGGAAGATTATAAAACCTATTAAGCTTCTACTGTATGCTTTTACTTGCATTATCTCATTTAATCTTCAAATTAGCCCTGTGAAGAAGGTATTGTTAGTGTTATACCCTATGTTCCTGGCTTTTCTCCTACTATGATAGCCTCTCTTTCTCAATCTCTTTTGGTGACTAGATCCTTATCCTTCCTTAAACCATAATTACTATGACTCAGGACTGAGAGAGACCTCTTCTACTCTCTTCCTACACTGTTTAAGGTGTCCTTAGGAAATCTTGTCTAGTCCCAAGGTTTTAATTGCTATTTATATGCTGATGATGACTCTCAAATTTGTTTCTCTAGCTCTAACTTCTCCATTTAGTTCTAGACTCATATATACAACTACCTACTTGACATCTCCCCTTGGATATTAGAGCAGATGCTGTCAATACCCACTCATATCCCTTGGATTCGCCTGTTTAACCCCTCTAATGGCCTCCATTGTAATTAAAATCCAAACTTTTTGCCTATGTCCCTGCATAATCTAGTTACTGTCCATTTTTCCAGTCTCATCTCCTAACACTCATTCCCTTACTCATTAAGCTAGAATCACAACAGACTTTCTGTTCCTCAAACATTTCAAACTTATTTCCACTTTAGGCTTTTCCATTTGTCTGTTTTATATCTTTTTGCCTGTAGTTCTTTAAGTGACTGGTTCTTTTTCTGTATAATATAGGTTTCAGTTCAAACGACACCTCCTCAGAAAGACTATCCCTGAATAGCCATTAGTACATATCTCCACTTCCCAATGCCTGTGGTCACTCAATTACATCATTCAATTTTAATTTCCTCATAGGACTATAACCTAAAATCTCATTTACTTGTTGGTATGCCTCATTCTAAACCTCTGAAAATTAAATATAAGCTCCATAAGAGTATGAATTATCCTGAGCCTCTACAGCCACACCTAAGACATTTTAAGAACTTGAATATTTGTTGCTGAATCCCAATTAAGGATACAGTGTGAAACTGGAATTCAAATTTACATCAGTGATTCCAAAAGCACATAGGTTTTTATTCCACAGTAGGTTGCCTATTCCAGTAAATGTGCATACACTGAGTCAGCAGTTATAGAAAAAGGGTATGCAACTTTGGTTTGCATACATGCAGAATATTAGATTATTCCACCACTAATCGGACAGAGGCAAATTCCAACCCTCCGGCCCTTCTGTAACATATACAAAAATAATAGTAAAGGGAAACGTTAACTATAAAGAAATCAAGGAACACTGCCTGCTACAGTAGCTACTTCAAGGTCCTAACTAGCACTTACAGTTCAGAGAACACACAAATTCTGGAAGCCTTCTCTGTTCCTGAGTGTTATCGTCACACGAGTGGGAAAGAAAGAAGTCTGTGTGTGGAGGTAAAGTAACTGATACGCATCATCTCAGGAATACTCAGAAAGAGTTCCTGGACTGCCTGCAAGTGGAGAAGTATGTAGGGAAGAAAAGAGAATGGTAAGAATAAGAAACCCCGTTGCCATGGAGTCGATTCCAACTCACAGCAACCCTAAAGGACAGGGTAGAACTGCTACTTAGCATTTCTAAGGGTATAAATCTTTATGCAAGCTGACTGCGACGTGTTTCTCCTGTGGAGTGGCTGGTGGGTTCAAACCACCAAACTTTCGGTTAGCAGCTAAGCGCTTAACCACCGCACCACTACGGTTCCTTGGAAAAAGAAAAGAATAAAACTCTGAAGCAGTTTCTATCTACTTAGAAGCGAAAATGGAATTAAATCATCAAAACTAGAACACTGCTACTCTTAATCTCATACATCAAATACCAGGTAAAGATATCATTTAAAAGGTAAACTGATATGATCACTGTAATTAATGAAAAAAGCAAGAATATATAATTAATTTCATAAAGGTACTCATTCAAAGGTGACAGAGGATTGGGGAAAAAGTCACTTTCAATCCCAAAACTAATTACAAATTAAAACCAATGTTAAGAGAAAAATCCCCTCTTATTCAAAAAGATCCAAGCACCACACTTACCGATCTTCTAAAACTTTAATGGTTTCATGAAGGACTTTCTGTTGCTCTCTCAGCTGCTGGTTTTTGGTGAAAAATTCTTCTAGTCTTTGTGCATCTCTAAAAGTGAAGAAATAAATGTAAGTTTTTTTTTAAAAAAAAATACTCTAACAGGATAATTCTGTTAAAAGAACTCCAAAGTACAATCTCACCACTTACATATCATGAATTTCTTATATCAAAACAAAGAGCTTACATATCTTGTTAATCAGAGTTCAAATTATACTAGAATTTGCTCTTAGGTATTTTTATGCACTGGTGGTACAGTGTGTAAGCGCTTGGCTGCTAACCAAAAAGGTGGTCGTTCAAATCCACCAGCTGCTCTAAGAGAGAAAGATGTGGCAGTCTGCTTCCATAAAGATTACAGCCTTGGAAAGCCTATAGGACAGTTCTATTCTGTTCTATAGGGTCACTATGAGTCGGGATCAACTCGATAGCAATGGGTTTTGTATAGAGAAGTATTATCCAAAGTATCTGGCATTCATTACACACTGCTGGAACACAGATGGAATGGATTTTGATGCCACCATTGGCTCAACTTTGTCAAAATGTCTATAAAAATGCACACTTACTGTTTTTTATCATTTTGTCTACATTTGTTAATGTGAACAACAGACATCTCTACTCTTATATCATCCCTATTCCAATTATGGGAGATCTGTACTTTATAATTTATTAATTTCTGTTTTGCTGAAACTTTTTACCTGGTATTGCTTATGTGAAGTGGAAGAACACAAATCTTAAACCCAGATGTCTGGGTTTAAATCTCAGCTATGTCATTTACCAGCTTTGTGAGCTGGCTCAAGTAACCTAGACTCTCTGTGCCTCAAAAAATGTGGATGTAATAGTACCTACCTCATGATTACAGACAAGTTTCAAACTGGAGGGATTCAGTGTCAGACTAAGAATGATGGTGCCAACAGCATTCTCAGGAAACAAAAGGTCAGGGTGTAAACCATTTAGGAAGAATGTGTCAAGAAGCAAGCAAGTTGCTCCCGGTTGGGGGGGCGGGGAGGGATGTATAACCGACTACAATTCTATAATCAAGTATGGCTGAACCAGCTGGTGGTGACTCACACTTACCTAGCCAGGTGACTGACCTTTCCATTTCAAAGGACCTCAAGCTGAAGTCTTATCTACAATCAATCATTAACCCTCTACCTGTCTTTTGTTCTCTATGTATAAAGACCCCTTTCGCCACTTGAACAGCTACAGCTGTTACTATTTCTCAATAAAACTCCTTTTCTTTCACTCCTAACAAAGTATGAGATTTTCTACTTTGATACTCATAAGGCATTTGCAAACACTGGGCATTAATGTAGATATAGTATGTAAAACAGTGCTGGCGCATAGAAAGTTCTTTAAGTGTTTAATTATGATTTTATAATCAGAAAAAAAATAAAGATATTGAAATTATTCTTTTGGTAGAATTTGATTACTTTCCAAGGTTATGGCATATTTTACCCTACCATCATTATTTTTAAAAATTCACATTATTATATAAAATATGCATATGTTTTAATTCTAAGAAAATCCGTTAGAAATTTAACTGGGATCTTCTGTGTTGTCTTGAAGCTGAACAATACTGTGATTCAAACATCTTCCCCCACTCTCCTCAAGGGTCTAAAATATCAGATCAAATAAGGGTAGCAAACCAGTATGCCACAAAAAGTAGGTATCAAAATGACTGCGTCAAAGCAGCCAGAATGTAGACTATGACTGGCAGGAAAATAGATGAGTAAAACAACTAACTCAAAATGTCAGTGAACGGTCAACTTTACCCAAAGGATTTGGTCTTTGTTCTTGATTCCGAAGATAACCTCTAAAATCTTGGAATTTCCCCAGTGACTGAAATGTCTTTGTTATCTAAGAAGGCTCCAGACCTGACAGGCTATGCCAATGAAGTGGCTGAGGTGGGGTTGACCATGCCAGAAAGACCCACCTGTGATACCAGCAGACCTCTGGGGAGGGGGCATAGTTCAATCAATTATGACCAATAATGAGGTCTAATAAAGGCTCTGGACACGGAAGCTCCATGGGCTTCATGGCTGGTGAAAGGCTATGCATGTGGGAGGGTAACACGTCCCTTTCTGGGACATGAAATTTCTGTGTTGGGAACCATTCCAGACCTTGCCCTACACGTCTCTTCATTTGATTCCTTTTTGCTATAATAAAATTGTGATTTTAAGTATAGTGCCTTCTGTGAGTTCTGTGGGTTGTTCTTGCCAATTATCAAACCCAAGAGAGCAGTGGGAGCCAGGTCAGAAGTGAGGACAGCCAAGCTTACTGCTGGTACCCTGGAAGGGTACAGGGAACCCTCGAATTGGTAGCCAGCAAGTCAGAGTGAGTGTGGAAGAGGCTGCATAGGTCTGGCTCACTATTATTACTCCCCATTGCTAACCCCCACATTGTCTCATGATCTTGTTTATCCCTCTGGTTCAAGTCTCTACAAAAGGTTTAAGACTAACCTATGTTCCTCCTTGGAGGGTGGAAAACAAGTGATAATGATCTAGGAATGACAAACTGAACAAAGCACCCATCTTGGGACAAGAGAACCAGGATGTCGCCAGATAACCCCCAAGAAAAGATTAACTCATCTGGGATGTGACCATCTCAAGGGGGAAGTAACACAAACTTCTAAGACCCATAATCCTGTCCCTGTAAAAGCCTTTGGCCGATCTCCAGTTGGGGAGACAGGTTTTTGGGAGGAATCTATTCCCCTCTGTCTCCTATGTATCGATATATAATAAAACTCTTGCTGCTCACCTCACCTGTCTCAGAATTGGCTATTGCAGCAGACGGCTCCAATCCACGTTATTGCAGTTACCAAATTTGGTGGCCTGTACAGGGAGCTTCAGCTGTTTGAGACGCAGCAGTCCTGGGGCAGGGCCTGGGGCTGATCAACAGCTCTCCCGACAAGTGGCCGAGAGAGGTTTCACTTCCCTCTGGGGAGACTATTGGCCAGACCTGGGTCTGTCACAGCACCACCGGTCCCCAACCGCGCCAAAAGAGGTAGGTGAAAGAAAAAAAAGCAAGACCTGCATAGGAGGGATCCCAAGGTGAGTGTGCGACTTCTCTCCCTGCTGTGCTCAGGGCTGGGGCACATAAGGCAGGGCCAAGGGTTCCGGAATGGGACCTGAGCCCTTGGTTTCTGAGGTGGGATATGCCCCAGATGACCGACCCCATCAGTAGGCTTGCAAGAAGGGACTCCTGGTGACTCTAGAGTCCTGGTTCTAGGGTGTGTGAGCGCTCTTAAGTGTCCAGGAGGTTGAGATTCTCTAAAAGTACCTCTGTCGGCAGACAGGGCCGTCTGGGAGGTTGAAGGGGTCGAGAGCACCTCCAACAGCTTGTGAGATTTATTCGTTTACTGTGGTTTTGTGTCTGTCCTGTCCATTCGTTTACTGTGGTTCTGTGTCCTGTTCATTGTATGTGTGTAACTAGTATCATACCATCTACTTGGGTGCCCTTATTCGGCTGTTAGGGAAAGTGAAAATACCCCAGGTGAGACTGGTTCTTGAGACAGCCATAGTATCTTAAGACTATGTTCACAAATTAACTGATCTGGATCCTGAGAGCCCTGAAAATGCTGGAACGGTCAATATAATCTTTACAGGACAAAGTGCCCCCAATATTAAGAGAAAGCTTCAGAAAGAAGGAAACCAAAAGCTTGAACCTTATCGCTTAACATCTTTGGTAAGTGAGCCTGAATTTCCCCCCCTACTTCTGATTCACTGGTTTGGAGTTCATATTTAAAAACATTATAAACTGAGTATACTAGAAGTAACTTGGAATTTCAGTGACTACTTTGGGAAAATGAGCTTTCATTTGTATTGTCCGTTCTTTCCTTTAGGGACCTTTGCTTGATGCTCAGGTTTTGTCAAAAGGTCTAATATTCTTCTATCCGAGGCTCCGGCAAGTTAGTAAGTTTTATCTAGAACCTGTTTTTTCCATTGAATTGAGTCTATCTTACCAAAAATTGCTATGTACACTTTAAGAAACTAGGATCCACATATCCTTTTTGTATGGTATTGTCTGGTGAATTTATGCGGTCTGTCTCCTTTTGTCCTGAAAGAGCTTGCTTTTGGTCTAGAGCGTTGTGTCTTTAGTCTGTCTTACATCAGGTTGGAGGTTATGGCTAAGAATTGCTATTTTTTGTAAGGCTGGTCATAGAACCTCAGTTCTTTCTTCATCCAGAAAATACTGCATCTTGTGTCTGTCTTATGATTTAGACTTTTAATAGCTATTTGGAGAAACTTTGATGCAAATTGGTCTATTTGAAAAGTACACTAAGACCTTTATGTTTTGTACTATGTCAATCTTAAAGCAAAATCTAAGTAACTTAAGCTAGATATTAGATGAAATGTGTTTTATTTAAGAAAAAAGGATAGTTTTGTCTTAAAGTAAAAAGTAGCAGTTCCAGAACAATAAAAAAGAAGTTCGTTACCTTTTGTCCTTCAAAATTCCTAGGTCAATTTAAACATATGTAAACAAACTGGGATGACATCCACAGCCCCAATCTTGCTAGCCAAGTGTTGATGGATTCATTTACAAAATTGCTAAAGAGCTTTAGTATTTACTGGGTAGACAGCCTTTCAAAATGTCTCCATCAACTTAAATATATGTAAATATCTTCTGTCAGTCAAGAGAGTGAGGGCGGGGCATGATCAGGCCTCCTCAGCCCCCAGCCCCCAGTCTCCAACGTTGTGTAGCTCAAGAGAAGCTTTTGAAAAACTCTTTCCAGCTAGGTGGAGACTCTTTTAAGATAAAAGATAAAAAAAACTGCTGATTTACTACAGTTATCAGAAATTGAGTGGATCCTGATAATACACTGTAAACAAGTTCTATTACAGGGGAACTCTAAAAAGTCAAACAATAGAAATCACAATAAGACACACCTAAAATGGCCTGGAAAAATGTTTCCAGCGGTAGTCAGAGGCTTAAAGTTATATCCATATTAATGAACTGGTCAACTGAACACACACTTTGTGATTTCCAAAGCCAGTTGATAAAATCTTTAAGGGCTAAAATTAGATTGGGAAAAATATGAGAAACAGTAAAAG